TCCGCGACTTGCCCCGTTCACACTACACGCGACCAAGCGACGCGATACCATTCATTTCAATGGGGAGCTGGCGATTTCCGGCGACACGCGCGACAGCGACCGTTGGCGACTGGATGGGGCGTGTCTGGCGACGCGACAAAGTTGAGATCTGTTTAACTTTATGCAAATGAGGAGCGACTTTTGGGAGCGACAACCAATAGGAGCGGAGCGCGTATGATCCTTCTCCACATTATTGGATGTCATTCATAAAGGCAACCAGTAGTGGGAACTCCCACTAGCGACCTCATCGCCAGCCACTGGCGACATGCAGCGACAAAGTTGCTTGTAGTGTGAACGGGGCTTAGTCGCGCGACGCAACGAATCGATGAAATTCGTTGCCAACTTTTTTAATAATCGATTTTTATCGATTTAATCAATTCGTTGTTGCAGCCCCAATTCAATTCAATTCACATTTATTTAATGCTTTTCACAATACATGTCGTTTAAAGCAGCTTTAAAGAAAATGCATGTGTCATTACAATTATGCATTGAATGGAATGGCATAGATAGAATAGAATAGACTAAAAGATAGGCAATAGATTCTGTGCAACTATGCAATATACATTCGTAAGTGTGTGAATACGCAAAGATGACATTTTTATGCAATGTACCAAATAATTCAATCTACAATTTACAATTGTAGAATACAATTATAAAAAGTTCTTTACTCCTTCAATAGGCAGCAGGGGCCATTATATAGAAAAATCCTAACTCTAGAATCCTATCTTATCTTTTTAGTGTGATTTCAGTCAGAAACCTTAGAAACTTTTACATTTGAAATTCTAATTTTAACTTAAAATCCTATATTGCATGTTTCTTATATGCTGCTCTTGTTGTATGGAGCACCAACAAAGGAGCCAGAGCACTCTAAACTGGTGCTATTTTAGAGAATGACAATGGATTTGTTTGTTGCTTTTTTTTTTTAAATCTCATGCCTCTTTAAGTAAAAAGTGTGCTGTACAGTAATACTGTACAAGAAGCTTCAGTCAAGGTCAACACAAAGAGGTTAGTGACCTAAAATTAAAACTGTAGAAAGCATCAAAGGGCCGTCACCTTATAATCACTCTTGTCTTGCCTTGCCAAAGGTCACCACCGCACATTGTTTTGCTTTACCTGTGATGGCTTCAACAATCCTAGGAAGGAACAGTAGCTTAGGCCTCCTGTAAGCCTAATGAATGAGTTTTTGTTCTGCTCCTGATACCTGTTTTGACCTCAACAATTCTCCACCCTGTAAGCCAGGGCATCCTCTTTTTTGCATATAAAAGCACTTTGATAAGAGCCCAAAGTCTGTCTGTGCGAGTCGGCCAGAGACAGAAGGCAGTAAAAACACAAAGGCCCAAAGCTAAGTAACTACAGGTTTGGGCTATACAACAACCTTCAAAAATGGCAGAGCAATTGGGAGACGTGATGTTCGCAGCCAGGCGAAGGGGAGATGAAACAACAAGAGAAACAATGTTCACATATACCAACAGCAATAACACCAAAGGTGAGCTTTTAAAATGTCTTCTATTTCTATTTTAGTAGGTTTTGAGTAGGTTTAAATAGGGAGGTTGTGTGCATTGAATATGTTGACAAAAAATGTACAGGAAATTGTTCAATCATAGCTATTCTGTTAGAATGATAAAGCCGTGTGAACGTCTTTGTGGGCTTTTAAAGCTTCCGCAATAGTGGCAGTGTAATAGGACTGGACATTTTGGCAGTCTTACTCTAAACTTCAAATGTGTGGTCTTTTGACCTTAGCGCTCTCATTTTGGCCAGAAGTAACATAGTCAGAGAACAATTTCAGACTGATGAATATGGAGCATCAGAATAATGAGAGTTGGTTACAAAGGCTGTTAGGTGAGAACTCCTTCAAGATGATAATATTACTGCTCTTTATTTCGCATTTCCAGATCCCTTTGAGGGACCCAACTACCACATTGCCCCCCGATGGGTGTACAACCTCTCAACATGCTGGATGATATTCGTGGTCATTGCTTCGACCTTCACCAATGGCCTGGTGCTGGTGTCCACGGCCAAATTCAAGAAGCTCCGTCACCCTCTCAACTGGATTTTGGTCAACCTCGCTATAGCTGATCTAGCAGAGACTCTGTTGGCCAGCACCATCAGTGTGATCAACCAGGTTTTCGGCTACTTTATCCTCGGACATCCCATGTGTGTCTTTGAGGGCTACACTGTGTCTGTATGTGGTAAGTTACTGCCCAGAGACATCATTATGAATACATTAGACCAAAGTTCAATATATATATTTTTTTACATCATTGAAACTTTGTCTGTTTTTTAATGATATCTAACAACACGATCAACAGGTATCGCTGGTCTGTGGTCTTTGACTGTCATCTCTTGGGAGAGATGGGTGGTCGTCTGCAAACCATTTGGAAATGTCAAGTTTGATGGTAAATGGGCATCTGGTGGCATCATCTTCTGCTGGGTTTGGGCTGCTGTCTGGTGTGCACCTCCTATATTTGGCTGGAGCAGGTAAAATGACTTATTAAATTATCAATATGTAATGAAGGCACTTGACAGCTACGTACATTTATATCTTAGTAATTCATCATGAAATCATTGAATTCTTTGGGTGAGATCAACAAATAAGTTCCACACAAGCATAAATGTGGATCTTTTAAATCCATTATTTTTCAGATATTGGCCTCACGGTCTGAAGACCTCCTGCGGCCCTGATGTCTTCAGTGGAAGCGAGGACCCCGGTGTCCAGTCCTACATGATTGTCCTAATGGTCACCTGTTGTATCCTCCCTCTGGCCGTCATCATTCTCTGCTACATCGCTGTGTACTTGGCCATTCATGCTGTAAGTTGTCTCCTTGACTGCTTTTTAAAAGTTTATTCCAGTTTCTAAAAAGGCACTAAGCATCTATCATTTCTTTACAACAGGTCGCCCAGCAACAGAAGGATTCTGAGTCCACACAGAAAGCTGAGAAGGAAGTGTCCAGAATGGTGGTTGTCATGATCATGGCCTACTGTGTTTGCTGGGGTCCTTATACGTTCTTCGCCTGCTTTGCAGCTGCAAACCCAGGCTATTCCTTCCATCCACTGGCAGCAGCCCTGCCTGCCTACTTTGCTAAGAGCGCCACCATCTACAACCCCGTCATTTATGTCTTCATGAACCGACAAGTAAGTCAATGCTGTTGACACAATGAGCACAATGAGAAAATTTTGCATGAATCTTTGCAAAAGAATCTTGATTTCTCTTTCTTCACAGTTCCGCGTATGCATCATGCAGCTCTTTGGAAAGAAGGTGGATGATGGGTCTGAGGTGTCTACATCCAAGACAGAAGTGTCCTCTGTGGCTCCTGCATAAATCGCGCACCAGATCTCAGAGCAATGGTCTTGAGTCAAACATGGGAAAAAAGATGAAAATGGGACTTTTTATATTCCTTGTTTACCCTCAACGTATATCTTGACAACTTTGCTTCCAGATATTTCCCTCGGATTGATGGGGAATACCTTGTTGCATGGCACTGTGTGTTAACACATTACTTGCTCAACGGCCCCGTGACTTAAGATCTACCGGAATGATGTTACAGTTTTTATGGTATTCATTTGTCACACAATCATTTGTCCATGATACTCCATCCACTGACTATTCAGAAGGTTGCATGCCTATATATAGCACTGCTTTGTGGGAATGTGACACTCAGCGTGGATTAACTAACAGCAAAAAGTAATCGCCTCATTGTAATGTACAATTTCTGCTGAATTGCTGTTCAGTGGCAATGTAATAATATCTCTGTAATCTTAATTTTGTAGCCATCTTGCAAGAAAACAAAAATGACAAAAAAAAGTTTGATAGATAGAGGCCTGCCCATGTACAGCATGTAATATGGTTCTATTTTTTTCTTTGATGAAAATAAAAAAAAAAGCAGCAAAATAAATGTTCTGTTCTCTGTGTCTTTTATTACACATGCACATCTCTCTGAAATGATTTCATTGTGGGTCTCCATAGCAGGGCAGCAATTGAAATAGTCAAGATATGGTCCCTTTCACAGATATGCTTTTTCGCATATCATTTTCATATATAAACTTTTTATTTTTTTATTTTATGTACATTTATATTGCTATACTTTATTATATTCCCCTGGCATTACCCCCTAACACAACAAGGAGGTTACTAATGCAGCTGCTGAATGAGTGACTAAAAATATGACATCCTTATCGCTTCTGATTGCCATAATCCATCTCATGTTTTTTCTTTTTTTAGAAAATCTTGGAAATGCAATAGTCGTTTTTATATTTTTTTCCCTTTTTTTTTTTGCTGAAGCAAATGGGAATGGAAAATTAATATTTGCTGTGGTATCCCACGTACCTCTACAGACATTTAACCTGCTAGTTTAGGCCTACTTCTGCATTCCTAACCTGGAAATGTGAAAAGATCCATGATCTTGTTTAAAATGTGTCCCTAACTTCACTTTTGTACACTTTCCCTAGATTTAATTTAATAGAAAGTACAAATAAAGAATTTGCACTGAAATCCCTAAGACACCCAGACAAAAATCCACTTTAAGGAAAATAACTTTCAATTCAATGTTTTTTTGTTGTTGTTCTAGAAAGGATTTAAAGCTTAAAAGTCACTTAGAAGTCTGCAAATAAGAGGAGCAAGTCAAGTGCAATTCCTCCATTTAAGCCTGAGGGTGCTAAGCAAATTCAACTGGAATGTGACACTAAAAGCACTGCTTATCTAAGGAGGATTAACCTCAAATTGAAGTCTTACCTTTTTGAATCTGAGTATCCCTGTGCCCCCGTGTGCTTGGGGGCTAATGTGTGCATGGATGTGTGCTTTCATCCCATATGTGTGAGGTCATGAACAGAAGTTAATGCCCATACTTCCCATGCAGATTTGGGGGCACTTCCTGTTATGCGAGACAGCTGTACCTCCCAGCTAGCCTTAATTCGCTTCACGTCAGAAAGTCTTTTTGGCGATGAGCTGGTATAAAATGCCTCTGACACCGTGTGCCAGTTTATTGGTTCCAATTTCTACCACAAACGGAGAAATAAGAGGCAAAGGAGGGACCAACCACCAACTCAGGGAGAGAAGAATCCTGTGACAGGTACAACCACTGCAAAATTTACTACTTTTGTTGAAATAAAAATGGGTAAAAAAGTGAATAAATCTCAATATTTTGATCTCCAGGGTTTACAAAATGGCAGAGTGGGCCGATGTGGTGTATGCTGCCAGACGACGAGGGGACGACACAACAAGGGAGTCTGTTTTCGTTTATACCAACAGCAATAACACAAGGGGTATTTTATCTTCAGGAACATGGAACACTGAATGTCATGAACTTTATGAATGAGTAGAAGAGGAAAATTGTATAATAATATCTCATTTGTTCTCAGATCCCTTTGAGGGACCCAACTACCACATTGCCCCTCGATGGGTGTACAACCTCGCAACAGCCTGGATGTTTTTCGTGGTGGTCGCCTCGACCTTCACCAATGGCCTGGTGCTGGTGGCCACGGCCAAATTCAAGAAGCTCCGTCACCCTCTCAACTGGATTTTGGTCAACCTCGCTATAGCTGATCTAGCAGAGACTCTGTTGGCCAGCACCATCAGTGTGATCAACCAGGTTTTCGGCTACTTTATCCTCGGACATCCCATGTGTGTCTTTGAGGGCTACACTGTGTCTGTATGTGGTAAGTTACTGCCCATAGGAAGCAAATAAATATGCAAATTATTTGAACCAAAACTTTTTAGGTAGTTTTTTAATGATATCTAACAATCAACAGGTATCGCTGGTCTGTGGTCTTTGACTGTCATCTCTTGGGAGAGATGGGTGGTCGTCTGCAAACCATTTGGAAATGTCAAGTTTGATGGTAAATGGGCATCTGGTGGCATCATCTTCGCCTGGGTTTGGGCTGCTGTCTGGTGTGCACCTCCCATCTTTGGCTGGAGCAGGTAAGGACTGAAATATCATAATTTTCCATTGTAAATTATTTAATTCCGTCATATATAAAGAAAATCTTCCCTGCTCTGAAGATATTGGCCTCACGGTCTGAAGACCTCCTGCGGCCCTGATGTATTTGGAGGAAGCGATGACCCCGGTGTCCAGTCCTACATGATTGTCCTAGTGGTCACCTGTTGTATCTTCCCTCTTTCCATCATCATTCTCTGCTACATTGCCGTGTACTTGGCCATTCATGCTGTAAGCTAATCTTTTATGAAATCTTTAGAGGGAAATATTTCTCTTTGTTTGCAATGGAGAACTGAGCTTGTTTCCGATCGTCTCTGGCAGGTCGCCCAGCAACAGAAGGATTCTGAGTCCACACAGAAAGCTGAGAAGGAAGTGTCCAGAATGGTGGTTGTCATGATCATTGCTTTCTGCCTTTGCTGGGGTCCTTACGCTTCCTTCGCCTGTTTTGCAGCTGCACACCCAGGCTATGCCTTCCATCCACTGGCAGCAGCCATGCCTGCCTATTTTGCCAAGAGCGCCACCATCTACAACCCCATCATTTACGTCTTCATGAACCGACAGGTAATATTGCATTGTATGGGCATACTCAAATGTGTAGGTGGCTTATTCTTTAGTTATTTAAACCGCTTTTGGTAGATCAACAATCAGAAACTGTCTTTGCTTTTGCAGTTCCGCGTATGCATCATGCAGCTCTTTGGAAAGAAAGTTGATGACGGATCTGAAGTGTCCACATCCAAAACAGAAGTGTCTTCTGTGGCTCCGGCATAAACCTCATGTCATTTATAGCTCCTACCGAACAAGAGAAAACGGGTTTCTTAGAACTGGACTTATAATTGAAATAGTCTTGACTGTACATACCGGTATGTTGCTAAAAGTCTTCTGAAAGAAACTTTTACTGTCCTGGGATCATTTAGCAAGACCTAAAAGGATTTATTTGCAATGCAATGATGTTTGAATGTCACTCAAATCTTTCATAATCTTTCAATTTCTTATTTGCAAATATGCTGAAAGATGTAATAAATATTCAAAAACAGGTCCAATGAACAATGTAAAAACAATTATGACAACTATTGTTGTTGTCACAGAGCTATGTTTTGTAGATGGATTTGCAAATGTAAAAAAAAATAAGAAAAAATACATTTTTATGTTATATTGTTTTCTGAAGAAAATAAATCATGCAGCAAAATGAAACATTGAAGTATTTGCTTTCAATTGTCGAAACTGTAAGAAAAAATGATGTGGACGTTGAAGATCTCAAAAATGAAGTTTATTACAGCATAGCAGTGGCAAGGTACACGAAGCACCTTGGGTTCACCGGCGTCAGAATGAGAACATCCAAGTCTCAAACCTTTTATCCTGTGGCCACTCTTAATGTAAATGAAGTTGCTCCTGTTGTAACAGCTGTGGTCTGTATGTTAATGAAGTTGAGACACCCCATTGTCTGAGAAGGTTCTCTGTGTCCCACTCTGTGTCCCATTCATTCTACAATTGATGATGACCATTTGCTCAGGATGTGATCAACCCAAATAGTGAAGAAACAATATAACTTCACTTCCCAGATAGCACAAGTCTATTTGATGTTATATTTACATCTGGAAGACGTATTTTTAAGAGTGTTTGCTCATCTGCAAGACGTCTATAGGACGTTTCCTGTCAGATGTCAAATAGACGTTTAGAAGATGTCTTTAAGATGTAATGATTTAGAATGCATGTTAAACTGACATCTTCTAAACGTCTATTTGACATCTGACAGGAAACGTCCTATAGACGTCTTGCAGATGAGCAAACAGTCTTAAAAATACATCTTCCAGATGTAAATATAACATCAAATAGACTTGTGCTATCTGGGTTCCTTCATCTCTATGATAATTAAGCCAGTTTGGGGATGAGCTTCTTCTAAAATATATTTTGGAGTGGAAACTGAGTCGAGGCAGACTACAATTTCTTACAACACTGTTCACAAATTGTAGGTCAGTCAATGCATTGTTTATTTCCCCATTTTAGAATCTTGATTATTTCAGCCCACTGTTAAAATGCACCCCTGAAAACCAATGTAAAGTTGATGGGCAGATGAGAAGAACAAGACAAGAATAGATAACTTTCCAAAAAAAAGAAAAAACATAACTGCACGTATATGTTCCCAGAAGATTCATAGAATTGGAAATCCAATAGAATTTCCAAAAATGTGTCTTGCAAGGGTTTTATAAAGGATAGAGCACATGAAGCCAGGTAACATCTTGTAATCTCATATAAGCTCTATTCCACATCAAGCGGATAGAGGATTTCACCTAGCCTGGCCAGTAAAGTCAAGACTTTTGCTAGGAAGCTTATATGACGGAACTCATTAGGTTAAAACACCGTTGAGTGTATTTGTGTATGTGAGAGCATTCATGTGGGAGGGGTTGCGTGACTGTGCTGTGGATTCAGCATTGCATGTATTTTTGTCTGAGCCAGACTTTATTCAGAGTAATTGTGAGGACATGCTGTCATATTTACGTGCACAATAATTTGAGCCAGTTACGGTTATGGTGAGAACAATTTCTAAATAAATGAAAAATAATGCAAAAAAAAAATGCTTTTAATAGAAAAGATTATATGCTCATTTTAAAGAATAAAGCAAATAAAAAACAATTTAGATTCTTTGTTTTTAGTGATTGGCCATAAGGTAGACCTGAAATAGCCTGGTCCCACCAGACTCTCACAGATTTCATTTGTAAGTATGTAGGAGGGCGGAGCCAGGCTAGACCTGAAACCCTTTTGTAAAGCTTTGTATTATTATTAAATTACCACATAGCATCTTAAGATATATGACATTTTATTTAATGTATATTACTGATGTGTATTCTTAGCATATTTGGTGACTAACTTTTTCTACAGTATTATTTTATTGTTTTTTGCAAGTTTATTTTACTCAAGTGTTTGTTTTTGTGGATTTACTCTAGCAATCTACATAGGCTAGGCTAATTATAGGCTATCTTACACGTGTTTGATGAGTCTGTAATGGGGGAGGAGGTTGATAAAACACCTATAATTGTAAAAATGGAATGTACTGTTTGGCAGTTTGAAGGAAAAACAATACAAGTGTGAATCATAAAAAATACAGATGTCTATTCTATTCTATTTTATTCTATTCTATTCTATTCTATTCTATTCTATTCTATTCTATTCTATTACAAATCTACCTGAGTAGACTTCAGGAGAATCAGGACTTCATTTTGGACATCGAATTATAGGTCCATACCAGAACAATACATTTTTTCTCGACATTCTCATTGACTATGAATGGAATTCAAAGCTTTTTTGCACATTGCAATAAATTGCAGTTAAAAGTCTTTATTAGAAGTTTAACGTCTCGCTTTAACGACGTCATTTCTAAAGTATTTTTTTACCATAGGTGTTTTACTATTAAGTTTGCGGCAGCATTGTGCCACCATACACAGTACAGGACGCCGCGGGTTCTCACCTAGACTTTTATTTTGAAAGACGAGAGTTTGTCGCTGTCTTCACTTGCGCTTTAAACCATTCACACGTGGAGTTATGTCCAAAGCAAGTGAGTATATGTACCTTTGAGTCTTTTTTTCACTTATAGAGCATTAAAAAGTGCTGACATAATGGCCATTTTTATTGAATTACTTTAACCATGTTACAGAGCAAAAACGAGCGAAACGGCTGGGGTTTAGCGGTAAAAAGGTGCGTAATCTAGCCTATATGCTAACTACTGTCAAATCAATGTTCAGTTTAGTTTTGTTGAAGTTAAGATGACATGCTTACTGTATGTCTACGTGTACCAGAACAACTAATACTACCAGTCAAATGTTTGGACACTCCTACTCAATCACTGTTATTATTTTTACACATTTTAAATAATCATCAACAGTATGAAACAACACTATAATGGAATTGCGGGAATTATGTTGTTTATCAGAAGGATGAACAAATCAATACTATCTTATATTTGAGCTTCAAAGTGCCACTTTTTGCCTAGATTACAGCTCTGCACATTTTGGACCAACTTTATGAGGAATTTAAGATAATGAGAAACATAATTTACAGTGTCCCAGCTTTTGACTGGCAGTGTATGTTGACTGTCTTCTCTAAAGTCCAAGGATGGGCAGCAGTCTCAAGGAGGGAAGAAAGATCCTGGCGTACCCAATATGCGCAGCTTCAAAGAACACAGTCAGAGACAAGCTGAACTCCGAAAACAGAGGGTGAGGAAGGGATCTGTACAACCTTTTCTAAATATGTTGCACATTTCCAGATCTGAGTAACATACATTTACCTTTATTTATATCACTAATGTTGCTGTATATCACAACAAATGCTAATGTGGAGTTTGTGTCAACTGTTTTCTAGTTGGAGGAGCAACAGGAGAGGCAGAGGTTGTCAAGAGATAAAGAGATGATGAAAAGGAGAAGTCTGGACAGTTTCCAGAAAGACATCCAGTTACGACAAAGAGAGTTTGAACAGAGGGTTGGTGTCTGACATTTTACTATTGAAGACAAAGTATTAGCCTTTCACTTGAATAGAATTGAATAAAATCATTGTTTTAAAATATACTACCATACAAACATTTTTTTAATGTTTAAAAAAAAAAAAATGTTTGCAAATTGCATTATATAATTTAACCTTGGGCTGCAAGATTAATCACAATTAACATGAAATCGTGCTTAATACGATTTGGCTTATTGTCAAAATCAATCAAAGTGTTTCAATCTTTCAATTCAGCTATAGCAACAGTATGATGCCCATAGGGATTGATGTGCGTTATCGTAGTCCACCGGCGGAGCATATTTGGTGTGTCTGCGTGAGATGCCCTCTGGCTTTCACATGGAGCAGCATTTACTACCGATCACAGAGCCGTACTTCACTGACAAGCTGCGCATAAAATAATCGCAGCCTTTGCCAAATCGCGTGCGGTTTCTTTTTGATTAATCGTGCAGCCCTAATTTAACCATGTCACTATATTGTTCAACCCCTGTAACACATCTGTAAATTATCTTTTTTGCAATTGCAAATCATTGTAGATCTGCACCTTTGTCTTAATATTGTCTTTATTGTTAATGCAATGAATGCAGGAAAATCAAATGCAAATCCTGGAGAAGCATGTAAACTTTGAAACTGAGAACTCAAGAAAGGCATACTGCAGAGAATTTAAAAAGGTACTATTTCCTGTACTGGCATGTTTTGATAACTCGTTATACTTCCCTTTAAAGATGAACCTCTATTGGCCATTTCTTAATGACAATTTACTTCTTTTGTCTCTTTTTATTTTAGGTAATAGAGGCAGCAGATGTTATTTTAGAGGTTATGGATGCCAGAGATCCCTTAGGCTGCCGCTGTCCACAGGTTGAACAGGCTGTTGTCCAAAGTGGAACCAACAAAAAAATTGTACTTGTTCTAAATAAAATTGGTAAGAGAGAATTTTTGCATGTCGAATTGAAAACTTCATTATGCAACAGATCAAAAACTGTTTGTTTTTCTCGACTTTGTCCACATCAAGATTTGGTGTCCAAGGATATTGTGGAAAAATGGATCAAGTATCTTCGCAATGAGTTTCCTACTGTGGCTTTCAAATCCTCCACTCAGCAGCAGAACAAAAATTTGGTGAGAGCTACAATTCATTATTTTAAATGCATGACTGGTGCAGAAACCAGGAGGGCAAAACATCCATAGAACTGAACATTTCCATCTGTTTCAAGCCACGAATATTTAGATCACCTCTCAAAAGAAAGAAACAAACATGTGTGAACAAAATGCAAGTTTTGGCCACTTGTGATC